AAAGTATTAAATATTTTATATTATTAAGTTACATTATTAGATAATCATTTTAATTTAGAAAGGTTCAAATTTTTGGGGTTAATTTTCAAAGGTTTAAATTTTTTAGGTTTTTTAATTTGCGTATATTATATTAGATAATATAATTTAAAGTATTAAAGATTTATATTATTAGGTTACATTATTAGATAATTATTTTAATTTAGAAAGGTTCAAATTTTTGAGGTTAATATTTTCAAAGGTTTAAATATTTTAGGTTTTTTAATTTGCGAGAATCTATTTTTGAACATGGCTTGACCTTTTCATTTTAATGATATGTTAGGTATACATATATCTAACAACTAGTATGGCTCAATTTGTTCTTGACCTGGGAGGTTTATTAAGTTTAATTTGAAAAATTTATTTGAGCGGATATTAATTTAATTTAGTTTGTTGTACGCTGGTCTAACAATGCGTGGGAAAAATAATTAACGGGACGTTAATTCAAATTATTACAGTTGCGATTTAAAGACCGACTGTGTTCGGCGCGCAATTTGGGAGAACTTTTCAGATAAATTTGCGTTTTAAGACCGACGATTATTCGGTGCGTTAGATAGGGGGAGAGGGAACACGCATATTACTTAAAAATATTGCGAAGAATATTACTACGTCGACTCGCCATCAGAGGTCTATCGATATTTGCAAAATTTTCGCAAGTGCTGAAATACGCATATATCGCTTTTTATAGAATCTCGATTTAATAACTTATACCGGCATCTAAGGTAGGTTTCCATTACAATACCTTACTGATGAGTCCAGTAGTGGAAACCGGGACGAAACGCCAACTTGTGATATTCTTCGCAATATACGAAAAATTAATTTATTAGAAGTGGTGACAATTTGGTTGCGGCTGTTGAGGACTTTGTAAAGTCGAAACTTTTCTGTATACTGTGTCATATATATATATATATATCTAACAACTAGTATGGCTCAATTTGTTCTTGATCTGGGAGGTTTATTAAGTTTAATTTGAAGAATCAATTAACTATATGAATACCGGTAAAATTTACGAAGCGCGTTCAAACGGCTAGTCTGCCCGTTGAACGACGAATGATTGGTAGAAAGCAAATCATGTCTCGGAAGGCAGCCAATCATGTTCGTCGTTTTATACGAAAAAGCTATAGTTGCTTTATCGGCGTAATTCTCGAGAATTATTGAATAATCGGAATACATGACGTAAAATGCACTTGAATTCAAGTCTCCTTCAAGAAATAAGATAACTAGTGGTAAATGTTAATTTAATCTATTCCTGTTTTCCTAATATATTACAATTTCTAGAGATAAAACGCGGGAAACGTCTGCCGCGCAACGAACGATCGGCAATTTGAACCGCGTTCACTGATCGTGCGAATGGCGAGAGTCAAATCCATCGCGTAGATAGATGAATAATCTGACAATTAATAGAGAACAAAGTATCTTTTTGATATCTCTAATACCATATAATACTTACCGCGGCGCGTTTTACGATGTAATACTACGCAGTACGTGCGAAACGGCTCGCTCGGCTGCCTCTCGGCTCAAGTATTGCGATGGAAATGATGACGCAGGCAATCTTTCTCGTAAATATGACGCGCAATATAAACAAGTGGAACGCCGCACTCCAAACCGTCGCTTGCTGCCAATAATATAACAATAATGACTTTTAACTTACCTACATAATTAATCTACACCGAATATTTCGTTCTTTATATTATATTACGATAAACCAATTATTATCGCACACTTTGTGAATTGTTTTATGAATTCTTATGTAGCGCATAAAACGATAATTATAACATTCACTTGAGAGCGTTTTTAAATGGAAATATTTTTAATATAAATATTTATAATATAAACGAAAGCTGTAGATATACTATAGATATACTTTAGCTAATTGAGTTTAAATTAACAATTAGAATATCCAAAATAGTATCCTTGTTACAAAATTAACGTATTGTCTCGTTGTATTAAACTTGAAGACGATAAACGCATAACATGATTAGATTTACGATAATTTGAAAAAATTAATATGCTTAAAAAAATTTAATTTATATTAAGGATGCAATTTTTAAATGAGAGAACAATTTTATTATTTATATTTTCCAATAGTTTTATATTAATGCTATATTTATTATGGAAGTAAATATAAAAACATGAAAATAAAAAACGTAATTTATTTTAATGCAACAATTTATTACAAAATGTAATATATATATTTACAAATTGCCACTTTCTATTTAAAGCAGAAAATAATTTACATAAAAGTTTTTTGATACAATAATTAATAATGGACTCCTTATATTTCAATAAAACGAAGAAAATTTAATTCGGCTAAATAGAAGTTAGCGCGGTAAGAAGTATGTAATTTGTAGATAAAATATTGAATAAAACATAAGATACGTGATTACATCGACGTTTGATATTTTCGATAAGCATAAATCTTGATCAATTACGTTAATTAATTTAAATATATTTTCTGATATCATTGTTATTAATATTTAGATAACATAATTTCGCTACCAACAAGCATGGAAACTTCTTTGGCCGATAATTGTGCTTCCGTCGGATTCTGTGAGATTTAGTATTAATGTTCTGCTGAGGATGGCTAAAATGTATAGCTGAAACGTTCGGAAATATCAAACGTCAATGTAATCTCGTATCTTATATTTTATAAAATATTTTTTTCTACAAATTTGCGCACTTCTTACCGCGCTGACTCCTATTTAGCCAAATTAAATTTTCTTCGTTTTATAAAAGTTTTCGTAAAAGAATAATTTTTATAAGAATGATAATTTTTATGAATCAAAACAATTTCGTGATCCAATTTTATTCTTTTATTAAAAAATAAAATAAAAACATTAAATTAAATATCGTAAATTATTTTCTGATTGAGACAAAAACAACTTATTTCTTGAATATTTATATCGCTGGCATATCACATTCATATTAAATTTGAAAAATATTAATTTTAAAACGATGAAAATTTATTATTTTATATATTTTTGCATTTTTGCAAACAATTTCTTTAATTTATAACAATATAACTAATTAATTATAAAATTAATATTACTGACATAAGCATTATCCCGTAACATTTATTAAGTCCTTATAAATATATATAAAATATCATACTATGGTCCCCCTTTGTTTAGGAATGATATTATAAATAAGTAAAAATACAGGGTCCGCCACCAAAATCCGGACAAATTTCAAATGAAATTTTCCGTTACATTGTGCCTCCGCCAGAGGATGTTAGCTTTTCGAGAAAGCTTGATGCTTCTAGTAAACAGTCATATTCTCAAAATGGTTGCGATGTTGAAACTAAGTGCGGAGTATAATCGAAGAGCTGCGATCATCAAAGGCCTTCGCGCTGGGCGCTCAGTAACAGAAATAATTCGATTTTTTGAATACCCGAAATCAATCGTTTATGACATTGTGGCTAAATTTACGGTTTTAGAATAGTTCAATGAAGGTTCCAGTATGCCAGCAAGGAAGAATCACTCAAAAAAACGCACCGTGAGGACACCCGCAGTCATTGAAAAGGCTCAAGCGCTGATTTCGGATGACCCAGGGCAATCGTTGCGAAAATTAGCATCGATTGTTGGTGTAAGCGAGTCAACAATGCGTCGAATTGCCGAGGAGGACCTTCGATACAAATTGTACACATTAAATATACAATAGATGCTCTCTGAAACTACCAGGACAAGGCGAGTTACTCGCGATCCAAGGAATTCTGGCCTCCCAACAGCCCAGATTTAAATCCTTTGGACTACTACATATGGAGCGTAGTTGAAGAAGATCACTAACAAGTCTCGGCATCCTAATGTGACGTCATTAAGGACCGCTATTGAGGCAGCATTCGTCGACATGGACAGCGCTACATTACAGCGTCCGTGCGAACGCTTCGGACCGAGAATAGAGGCCGTCGTTCAAGCTAATGGAAAATATATCGAATAATTATGCTCTATAGGGATCCCCCAAGTGCTACGTAAAAGGATTTTTTGTAATATTTAATTTTTCATTAAATACATTTTGTTTAAAGAAATTGTTCGATTTGTTCGGATTTTGGTGGCGGACCCTGTATGTATATATAAATATATACGTAGTATCTATAAATTTATATAAATATGTATCTGTAATATATATGTATATGTATATATATGTAAAATAAATATATCAATTACATATACATATAATTATAGTCATGGTATAGTCATGGTATCATTCTAGTATCGTGACAATAAATTTATTTCTTAAACAATAAGAATGTTAAAATATCCAAATAGTTTCCCTTGTATTTAAAAATATAGTTAATACTTATCTCTGCATGTACTATTTTGATATACTGTTTAATATTTTTTGTGCTTCTTGTTTGGCTTGTTGATCTTCATCATTCTTTGCAGGAAATTCAGCAGTTTTTTTAAAATACTTTATCGCATCTTCCTTACGATTCAATTTCAAATATGTCTTTCCCAGCATTAGTAAATTATGACTGTAAAAATTTGGATCAGTTTTTTCAGCAGCCTCGTGATACATCAGCGCTTCTTCAAAAGTCGAAGTTGGTGGTTCTCCAAATATAACAGATGCTATTTTTCGTTGATACCACGTCAGATTTGAAACCTCATAGCACCAGTTTCCCAGCATGTAAAGTAACGTTGCATCATTAGGGTTTAACTCTAATGCTCTCTAGAATTAATAATAATAATAATATAATAATAATAATAATAGTAATTTAAGATCATAGTGATAATTTGTGATCATTTTCATATATTTTTACATTATTTATAAAATAATATTTCATTATTTAAATTGCAAATTAATATACATAATTGAACTAATTATTTGTCAAATATCTTACCAGTATATGTTTCTTAATATTATATGATTCTTTTATATGTGCCTTTGTACCTTCCAAAATACTTTTCTTATTAAGGAATATAGACATCCATTTATGCAAAGCATAGTGATCTTCTTGAATATCAAGAGCCTTGCATAACAAATCATATCCCTCATAAGTTAACTTTTGTGCTTCAACATCACTGGCCATTTCAGACATTTTATAAATGGCTCTACTTAAACGCCATAAGATTTCAACATCCTTACTATTCTATGTAATATAAAATATATATTCTGGTTGTACATAAGTTGAATACAATATATATTAAGAAAAAATAGCCAATTAAGAGACAATATATATATGTATATATTATAATTGTGTAAATAAGTAAAAATATAAAAATACGTTGTATAAATTATAAAATATAATTACCTTATAATTTGAGAGAAGATTATATATATTCCTGTAGTCTCCCTGATCAAAAAGTGTATCTGCTTTAGCAAGAAGTTCGTTTGTTACAATCTGTGTCTTGTCTTCATTGTTGCTTTTTACAAATCCCCACATCCCCATTACAGTAAATGGTGACATTATTGTTAACTTCCTAAAAATTTGCATGTTGTTTTTCCTCTAGAAGAAATTATCTTTAATTTATTAATATTTAACTAAATTAATTATTATTGCCAATTTATTTTATATCTTGTATTTACCTTATAAGCTCTCTCTGGATGAATATTTTTATATAAAATAGCTCTTTGAAGATTTCTGTTGCAGTTTGTAATACGATATAATTTTTGCAGCAGCATATTTTGTACTTAAATTTTCGATATTAATTGGAGAATTTTTAGAGAAATGCTGTGATGAATTAGCAATAAACTGAAACTAAGGTTAACCTACAAATCAAGTTTAATTCGTAGGTTATATACACAGCTGTTATACATAACTATTTTAATCAGAATCATCAGAGTAGTTCACAATATTCTTCAAATATTTGTGTTGATCACAGATAACGTTACGCGTATAAATTTTTATATATGCATTTGTGTGTACTATCTACACTCTACAGCCTTGTACCAAATACACAAGTCAATACATTATGCAAGTGTACACACATGAATCGTCTGTGTGTATGGCCAACTATAATATAATATGTACCTATTACATACACATATTTATGTGTAATGTATACAGCAAAAGTGTACCCGAGATGAAAGTATAAGCACAGGTATAAGATGGATACTTCACAATTACACTTTTTTCTACATGATTTACATATATGTATATTAATAGAATCTACACACATAAATTTTAACAATTTAGATACGACGATTCTAAATTCAAAACTTTGCGTTCGAAATAAGAGATAAATTTTTTTATAAAAATAATATTAATGTTAATAACGTTATGTCAAATAATAGTAAACATTGAATAAATGTAACAGAGCTATAAAATATCAATAAACATAGTTATAAAAAAAATTACAAAAATATTTATACATACAAAATTTTATATATATAGATATATAAATAATTATAAAACCATTTTAATAAGAGATCAGCTAAATTTTAATACAAGTGAAATTATTTTCAGAATAAATAGACAGAATAAATGCGATGAATTAGATTTTTATTTGGAAGATACACAGGTATATTGATAGGATAGTTTAACGTAATCGAGATAAGGGAGGTTGGATGGATAGTGATTAAACACAAATGTACAAACGAAATACAATAAACAGTACGTTTCATCGGTGTGGTGCGTGGCTTATTGGCGGCGCAGTATAAGAAACATATTCTTTTTTCTCTCTCTCTCTCTTTTTCTCTCTCCTCTCCTCTCGTCTCCTGGGTCTATTTAATAATTGTACAATAAACTCGACTTATATGCTAAAGCCTCACACACTAATCGTTTTCTCCGTTTGAAAAATAATCGTTATGTTCCTTTCCTTTTTATAATAGAAAAAAAATCAGGTAATGTATTACATCGTAAACAAAGACATTGCACCGCAATCTCTTTCGCTTAGCCGTAGCTGTGTGAGCGTGATCATCGTGAAGAATTTTGGAATCACCCAGAAAAAGCAGGAGAAAGAGCGATAGCAATTTAAAGCATTATCACGATATATCTTTACAAGAAAAAAAAACGTCTTTTATAAATTTTATATCGCGTATCATTTACAGCTCCAAAATTATTGGCTTTTCGAGAAATTTTAGTTTGTCTCAAATGTAATGTCAGAAATATCGTTCGCAGTAGAAAGCATAGCTCAATATATCCTCTTTTTTTCTGGGGTATCTAAAATTCTTTTCTAAATGACGCAAGGACAAAGAGATGGTCGTGCCTATTATACACTTATATCATCTTAACATTATTTTAAATACGTTCTTGAAGTCTTTACATGAAATGTTTGTATGAGTTCTCGTTTTTTTGTGTTTTTTATAATAAAATTATTTTTCTAATCTTTGTTAATTAGCTGTTGTTGCCCTGTGAAACCTGCCTTCTGTCATAATATAATAATACTTGCACGGTAGGTTCACACTTCTGAATTTGGTTGATTTTATTTCATATATCACAATGTTATCTCTGCATTTTTTTATTAACATTAACCTTCTCCTCATAATTACAAACACCAAATTCAAATGTAATCTTTTGTTTGTTCAATGTCATATTTAAGAAATGTCCTAAGCCGCAAGTACCCGCAAATGCCAGCGCAAGATTTTTCGAATTTTCTTTCATGTCATACATAGCTCTATATGACACACATCAGATGCAAGTTACATTTTGTATGTAATTAATAAACTTTTATCTTCTCAATGTTACTTAAAATACACTGTGAATATGCAATAGATAAAAAAAAATGTAATACAGTTAAATCTGTACTACGAAAGCTAACTCTCACTTAATTCACTTAATCAATCTCTTTAATATCAAAGTTACTATATAGTGTATAATATTCTTAAGCATGCAATACTGCACGGTATCTACGTTGAAGTTTCATCTCATATTGCAAATGCATTATTTCGACTTAAGCTTTTTCATAAATAGACAGTTGAATCGTAATCGCAGAGCATCTCATAGTGTGTTTTACTGTGCATTTACACCAGCTATAATGTCCGTTTTTCTTTCTTATTGCGTATGAGGCTTGCCACGTGGTGCATATCCACGATTGCTTCCTCTTTGTCCTCGGAATTGTCCGCGACTAACGCGATCATTGCGCGTACCTCTTGATCCTCCGCCACTGCCACGTTTGAAGCCAGAATTGTATCCATTATTTCCTTCGTTGTTGCCCCAGGCACGCTGCTGATATCCATTTTGGTAGTTACTATCATTGCGATAATACGTTCCTGAAAAAATATTAATGCCGTATTTTTTAGCATCTTCGGAATTGAAAGATTTATTCAAAATACTGGGAGAATGTTTTATGGAAAAAGTTATGAAAACAATTTGATTTTAAATAATTTTTTACCTTGTCCTGCACGTCCATTTTGTTGATAATTTCCCCTGCCTCTGCTATTATAGCTATTAGCAGTCCCTCTTCTGCCGCCTCTTCCTCTGTACCCGCCACGTTGATCAGGCACCCAAGTCTGTTGAGATGTTTGTTGTGACGCTTGCTGGCAATCTTGGACAGATTGTTGCTGTTGGTCAGATTGATTCCAATCATTGGTCTCGGTCATCTGACACCAATCGATTGACTCATTTTGTTGTTCCAGTGATGGATCAGGGATTTCATTTTGACCATTCTCGATCTTTTCCTGGAAGATTCCATGTCACAATGAAAATTAATAGTGTATTATACATAATTTATTTCAAGACAAGAATGAAAGCCTCAAATACATAATCAAGAATTTTACCTCTGTAGATGCTTGAGCTTCTTGCTGATGCGTCTGCTCATTGAAGTTTTGCATTTGACCTTGCTGTGATAATTGTGCGGTATTTTGTTGCTGTTGTGATTGTTGAGGCTGATAACTAGCTGGATGTTGCGGACTATATTGCAGATTTGGCTGCTGATGAGAAGGTGGCATTGGAATCGGCGGTGGTGGATTGGGATTCGCGAAGCCAGGAATGTGCGACATATCCTGCGGTGGTGGATGTTGATATATAACCTGTTGAGGTACGCCCACAGGTGCATTTGCAAAGTTCTGATTCGTGAAGGTTTGTGAAGGAATAGGCGCATTGACTGTAGGAGGAATGTGTGATACAATGGGTGTTTGCGACGTAACATCTGAATCAAGTTCAGATTCCTGCAAGAAAAAAAAGTTAGGCGTGCCTATGACATCATTGATACGAGGCGCTGGTGGAGGTTGCTGTTGAGATTGCTGAGCTTGCTGTTGTTGTGGTTGAGGAACAAAAGTAGTGGCATTCGTATAATATGGGGTGTCAACTGGCGCAGCTGGATGAGGTGGTATTGGTTGTGGTACAACCGGTATGGGTCCCGAAACTTGACCAGTACCAGAAACAACGGGAAGCGTAGTAACTTGGACTGGAAAATTTGGAATAGGTATCATGGATTCCGGTGGAATGTGCCTGTCATTGCCGTTGCTGTATTCCTCGTTGACCTGTTCTTGAGCTGCTTGTGCATTAGTCTCCGCCACTGTTTCAGTGATCTATACATATATAAATCGATCAGATTATATAAGTATAACAGAATATAAATTCAATATCCTGATTTTATACCTCTTCAATTGGTGTTGCCTCCGAACATTCGTGAACTTGATCGAAATAACCGCACTGATTAATTTTCGTAATTATCTCTTTCAATTTATTGTAAGTAGTACCAATAACTTCACGTTGCTTTCCATCTACAATCGCAACATAATGCTCTGCTACTTTTTGTGCTTGTTGGACAAATGTCAAATCACTTTCTTCGCGCTGATGCTTTATCACTATCTCATTATATAAATTGTCTAGGTACTTGAATTCTTCCTCCGTCAGTTTTACAGCCCCATTCTTTCCATGAAAAAAGTCGTCTCTAACAGAATCAGTGTTTATGCTTATCAGGATATGCTGAGCAAGTAGCACTTCCTTTACCTATAATCGAAATCACATTTAAAAAAAAAAACATTTTGTATGATATATGTAAGAATGTATGATAATATTATCTTGAAATACTTTTGCAATGTCTTGTTGCATACGCTCAACAGCCTCTTTCCGTGCCAGTTTTTTTTGCTGTTTAACTGCATCATTGGCAATATTAACGATTTGCTTGTACAAGTCCCGCGTAATCTCCAGTGTTTGAAGCACTTCATCATATTTCGCCACTGCTGTTTTTTGGTCTGAATTTAATTCTCTTCCATTTTTTTGCAAGTCTCTATAAGACTCAAGCCTCCCCTAAATTAAAAAAATATATTTATAGACTCTTTTGATTCCTTTTGTGTGTATGTGTGTGTGAGAAAGAGAGAGAGAGAGAGAGAGAGAGAGAGAGAGAGAGAGAAAGAGAGAGAGAGAGAGAGAGAGAGAGAGAGAGGAAGAGAGAGAGAGAGAGAGAGAGAAAGAGAGAGAGAGAGAGAGAGGGATAACTAGTTATATTCAATATTTATATTATAAATTATAAAATTAGCATTATAATCATCACATAAGATCTGTTTTCAATAGTTGAACTAATATAACTTTTGGAACTTAAAGTAAAACAGATATATGTTTGATTTGGCTAAAGCAAAAAGAAAGTTCAGTGCAGTCTAGTATGGTGTATTCCTGTACATAATATATACTATATACAAGAATAAGAAAGATTGTGTTTACATTGAAACAAAGCATGGTTATAAATCAGTTAGAACATAATGCAAAATATAGCAATAGTTTAAATAATATCAAAGTTTATACTCTCGTTTTTAACATAAAAGATCACATTTTTAGAAATATTCCATGAATGCGTGATGAAACGTGCGACAAAACAGCGTCGACATTTGCAGCGATCAAACTGCAACTGGGAACCGGGAAACGCCGAACGTCGATCGTAGAAATTCCTCGTGGAATAGCAAGATTCCAATATAAATATAATCGTCGGTGAACGTTATTATCGGGCACATGCCAGCGTCCCGTCCCGCCAGTATTAAGCGTCATATATAAAGAAGTTTCGTGTACACGTAGACTGTACACCGCCATGATATGAGGTTGGCGACGATAAGTTGGCGTATCGGGAAACTCGAAATACTATTTGTTAGGCCGCGCATTGTAGAGGATTGCGGATTTTGATTCTCGATTCAGCGCTACGTGGATATAACGGTCTTGGCACGCCTTGCATGTACCCTTGAAAAATCGAGACGCGAGCACATGGCATAGCGGAAAATCATGGCGGACCGCGGTGAGAAAGCCACGACGACAGACAAATAGACTTTTGGCTGTAATTACGGTCTGGATGGTCGCGGTGTTGTATTTACCTTACGCTTCTCGAGATTCCGAATCTTGTGCTCGATTACAACGATCGCTTGGCGTAACGGATCCACGGTCTCCGTAGAGGCCTGTTTTTCTAGTTTGGGGTTGGCAGAAGGCATCCTTCACGGGCAACAAACACGAACTGGCTGGGATTCGGAATGGTAACCAACGTTGAACGCTTGAACCAAGTTACGAGAGAAAGAGGGGGTAAATGGAACGACAGAATGGCGGGCCGGACGTTTCCGAAATGTTGAAGATTCGCATGCGCGACATATCCTTTGTCCAGATCATGGTATAATAATGGCGAATTCGATTGGATTGCACCATGAAGGAAGATATAAGGAGACTCCACTCGGTCTCGCCAGTCTACAAGACATGAACCCATTTTAGGTTTCGAGTTCCGTTTCCGATTCTCGACACTCGCAGCGCTCGTGAATTTAGTAGTGCTGCGCATAATGAGTGCGAGTAAGAGAAATGATCATTTCTCTTACTCGCACTCATCAGAATCGGAAGCTGAACTCGAAACCTAAAATGGGTCCACTTTTATTTTACGGAGTGGAGTCTCCTTATATCTTACTTCCTGGATTGCACCAGTGCAGTGTGATTGCACCAGTTCATTTTTTTTCCTTTTCCCTTTTCCTAGAAAGAAAAGGAAGAAAGATGAACTCAGGTGCACTCAGTGCGCACTAGTGCATCCAATCGAATTCGCCATAAGAGAGGTATAGCAAGGCGCATGCAGGGGAAGGGGGAAAATTGATTGACCAACCACAACGCTGTAAGTTTTTGAGGCGCCAATTCAAATGTCTGTATGTACTCAGGTAGATGGAAACAAATAAATCTTATTACAAATAGCCTTGAATTATTTAGTTAATATGTCAAAACTGATGAAATATATATATATATATATGTAATGCATGTGTGTATGTGGATAGAGTATACGCTATTTCGTTTCAATAAAATTATTGGATACTCTCCAACTATCCTTTTACTGCAGAGATGAGTTATCTTGATAAAAAAGTTATTGGTACGCGTTAGAAGAAATAAAATAATTAGAGAAACATGAAAAATGACGTTTTTCACAAAAAATCATAACTTAGTCAATTTTCAATACTTTTATCTAAAAATTGAACCTGTACCTCTTGAAATATGGATCTTTAAGATAAAAAATACTGTAATAGTGCAACTTTTAAAAAGGTATTTATTTGGGAATCTGAAGTGGGGTCTTCCAGTACCCCGGGGGCGCTTTAAGGGTTAATAATAAATTCTGAAATAAATGTAATTTCTATATATACATATATATTCAAAAGTATATATCATTAATTACATTATTAAAATACAAAATCTCTTATAATTATGTATGTACATATGAATAAAAATGCACAATATTTGAGGTTAGAATATAGGTCTTTGATATACATTTATTACATATATAAGTATGCGTATTTTTGAATAACAAATTGATAAAATGGTAAACTTAACTTACTGATGATTTAGAGTCTGAGCACAAGCACTGCCGTAACATTTTACGACTTAAGTAATAGACGTAAATAACGCACAAGCTTTGGCGTATCGGCGTATGACGTGTTTATGTACATTATTGCCATATCTTTCGATAGCGTGCATAAACACGTCATACGCCGATACGCCAAAGCTTGTGCGTTATTTACGTCTACAACCACAGATGTCTATACTATACTAGATCGCTAACTTCGTCAAAAACAGTCGAAAGGACTGAAGCCGGCCGGATCTCCGGTTTCGGCCATGATGGGAACAAAAAGATGGCGACGGTACGTGTGTAGTAGTGCGTATATGAGTATCCTGCGTGTGTGTTAGTGCGTATGTGTGACATCAGCCGGCAGCCACACGTGTCAGAAGTAGGAGTTTCCAGAAATACCGACGGCACAGCCAAATTTTTTAAACGCACATCACTTGCGCCTGGTCTTTCCAAAAAATGTATATGTACAAAATGGGTGCTACAGATTAAATCATTCTTCTTTGGAACAAAGTCTCCTCCGATGGCCACACGTGTGTCGATTTTTCTACATATATTAGTAAAAGAAAGTAAAAATGCAGAAAAATTGTTGTATTTCTAAATGCAAAAATACACGAAAACAAGGTTTCATTTCTTTAGGTAAGTAGAAAGTATTTATGTGTAATAAATATAAAAATATTCGAGGTTCATGATATGAGAAGGTTATGTTTCAATTAAGCATTGTTAATTTTTCAGATTATCATTTACGCGTCCAGATATATTACAAATTTGGATCAATGCCATCGGAGGAGACTTTGTTCCAAAGAAGAATGACACCGGGAACACACGCGTCACGTGTGGCTGCCGGCTGATGTCACACATACGCACTAAAGGAGCCTACAGACCAGAGCGGCGCAGCGGTGAAGCGGCGAGCGATAGCCAATGAGAGCCATACGTTTAGGCGAAAGCATGGCTCTCATTGGCTATCGCTCGCCGCTTCACCGCTGCGCCGCTCTGGTCTGTAGGCCCCTTAACACACACGCAGGATACTCATATACGCACTACCATGGTGGAAGTATAGAAGGTGAACCATTCCGGTGGATGCGCAGTGGATTGAGAGGAGCGGGGGTATGTCAACCAATCAAAGTTTAGGCAATTTGTCTGATTCAAAATGACCAACGAAGCAGTCAGTCGCATCGTCGCATGACATGAACATTAATAGAAGTCAAGATATTTTGTGTGTTTGTATGACAATTTCGATTGCATTATGCCGACGTGCTGTGTGATCAATTGTAAAAATAAGAGTGGTTGCGGCAAAGAGAAAATAAATATGTTTTCTTTCCCCCAAAAGCCGGAACTGAGAAAGCAGTGGCTGGAAGCCTGTAAACATATTTCAAAACACGTTCAGTGTGAATATTATCGACTATAAAAAACATTATATTTCCTAAATTTTTTATTCTAATGAAGATCACTGTATTACATATAAGTTCTTAATTAATATTATATTTACTTAGTATTCATTTTGTCTTGGAAAAGATTCTTTAATAATTATGAGAAGAAATAGGAAAGGAAAGGACTACGAAAAAGTCAAGGAACTTTTTTACAATCAGGGAATGTCAAAGAATTTTCTCCGACCAAATCCGTAGACACCCTGTTTTTCCTGGAAAATGTATTATTGAATAGAACAAGTTCTTTACAAGTTTCCTTATATGTAAACCTTTTTTCCTCAAATGCATAAGAAAAGAAAGATAATTCAGAGGGAATATAATGTTATTTATAGAGATATTTTTTCTTCATGTTTATTTTACTTTATGAACTTCGTACTCGCGCCGAACGAATTGCCCAATCTCTGATTGGTTGAGATTTCGGGTCTCCGCCATTATGCGCAATGGTTCACGGGTACGATCCACTAGACGCTTCAAACGCTTCGAAGTGCTTCAGATGCACAGACTTCTATATATACTACTAGACTGCTGCTTGTTTGAAAAAGTGGCCCTCAATTTCGATTGTGCATTATACGCATGCGTCAAGAACCGCACCGTGTGACCCGTACGCACATGCGCATACATTAGCACGCTCATACGTATTTTTAAAATTAACCTGGGTTAATCTAATTAACAGTATTGAATAAATACTTGTTTCCGTAATTTTATTTTTACTGATATTTGTCCATATTTTTATAAAGTAGTAAAAATTGTCCTTTATCCTTTAATATTTAATTTTTTCAAAGGTTTTCATTAATAAATACATTTGGTCTGAATTTTTTTTTCAATAAATGTAATAAATATTACTTTAAAATTATAATATATTCGTATTATTTATCATTACATTTAAATGGTAATAAATATAAATGATATCAATAATTTTTTAATGATTTTTTTAAATCACATTTTTTATACTTATAAAATACACATATCTGAATAACGTATGTTACTTATGTTATTTATAAGTGTCTTGGTGAAAATAAAAATTGGAACGTAAGTCGAATGTGAGAAAAAAGTAACAGAAGAGTAAACGAAGCTTCTAGGAGGCGAAAATTGAAACGAAACGTAAAAGAGGTGTTTGCGCTTCGTTGTTTCAACTTTTACCTCCTAGAAGCTTTGTTTACGCTTCTGTTACTCTTTCCTTACATTCGACTTATGCTCTAATTTTTCTTTTCACCAGGGTGATGTAAGTTACTTTCTAAACTTATCGACTTGTGGTGAATTAACTTCGTGCAATCTATAGAACTAAATATATTTAAAAAATCTTTTATTTTCCTCAAAATTATAAGACAATCTTAAAATATTTTTCACAATTTTTTATGAAATATCTTAAAGATGTTTTTTCAAGAACTCTTACAAATAAAACTATTAAAGATTTCGTTTTACGCGTTGATTTTCAACATTATTTATATACTTTATTATTCTCTTAAAAATAATATTGTTTTCGTTAATGTTTGTCGTTTGCGAATTGGATTTAAAATTTCTTGAAAATAAAATTTTGCATAAGAATGCAACCGTATTTTGATATATTTGGAAGCTACTGCTATAATCAGCCGAATTTTATGAGGCATTTCGAATATATTAATGTCTTCGCATTCTGTTAGAAAAATTTTATCTAAGGTAAAAATATCTTTGACTTTAACAATAACTTTCTTATCTATATCTTTTTTATATAATTCAGTAAAGAAGTTTGTTTCAATTTGTAATTGCTTTTCTGTTTCTGTACATATAAGAAAAACAGATAATGAATGCTTAACTAATCCACCGTGATTGGAAAAAGAAAAGAATTTAGAAAAATCTTCGTTTCTGCGAAAATAATTATGCTCAGTTTCTGCTGCTCTTAAATTTGTAACACAAGAGTTACATGTAATAGATTTTAGTTGTTTTACAATGTATCCACTGATGTAGAAAATTATATTTTTAGTTATATTTTTCAATACAGATTGTGAGTCAGATTGTGTAACTTTCGAAACAGATTCTTCACCTTCATTGTCATCATCAGTGTCGTGTTCATTTTCACTATTAATTTCTAATTCTAAGGAGTCTTGTTTTTTTTTGTCTTTCCACATTAAAGGATAAATTGATGTTACATATTCTGTGTCAAACTCAAAACAATTAGCATTTATTGTTTGCTTTATATCTGCATGCAATAACAGTTGTCTCATTGCATATTTAAGGGGAGGGACCGGTGAGATTTTGACCCCTAGTTCTTT